AGCTGCTGATCAGTTTCAGCAGCAGCTGACTTGGGGACACCTGGGGTTCTTAAGTTGAATCTGTAATCCAGATTCAGCCGCTGTTGAAACTGATCAGTTTCAGCAGCGGCTGAATCTGGACGCCAGTTCCGACTTACATACAGAGTCAACTTAAGAACAAACCTACAGTCCCTATCTTGTACGTAACCCGGGGACTGCCTGTAATATGACAAGGCTGCCAAAAGGGGTAATCTTCAAATCTTAGCCTTGTTCCCTTTCAATATGAATCCAGATTCAGCCGCTGTTGAAACTGATCAGTTTCAGCAGCGGCTGAATCTGGACGCCAGTTCCGACTTACATACAGAGTCAACTTAAGAACAAACCTACAGTCCCTATCTTGTACGTAACCCGGGGACTGCCTGTAATATGACAAGGCTGCCAAAAGGGGTAATCTTCAAATCTTAGCCTTGTTCCCTTTCAATATGATTCTTTTACTCTAATTAGTTTGCACAGAAGAAGAGCTCTGTATGGGTCAAAGCTTCTCTTTCACCAACAGAAGTTGATCCAGTAAAAGATACGACCCACCCACTTTGTGTGTCTAATATCCTGGGCTAAATGTGGCTACATCTACTCTGCATGTTATTAATTTGCAGTCTGAAGTATTCTTTCTCCACTTCAGTCTAATCAGTAACAATATGCTAGTAATAATCTTGTACTTTTAAACTGGTTAACATTATCTTTAGGATTCTTCTCAGAAAGATATTGAAGAGGAATTGAGACAGTTCTTGTTGAATGCACAGATGTCAGATTTCCAAGCTACTGTTGGATATGTCATAACAGGTCTTGTGAACAGGTGTAAAACAGAGCCAACCTTCTACCCTCGGAATTCCCTGGTGCAGTTGATCCAGACACAAGGACTCTCTTACAGGTGATCGCTCTTCTTTCTTTTTTTAATTTTGAAATAAAGATATGGGATTAATAATTTTAAAGTGCTTTTAGTGGCTTTCAAAAACTGGACTTAATCACTTAAGTAAACATTTCCAAAACTTTACCTGTGGTCTAAATTTGGAGAACTTTGCCAGGAATAGTGATTGGCTTGTGACCTGCTGTTCTCACAAAAAGACTTGTTGGATTTCTGCTGCTAATGCCAATTTTTAGAACTTTTCATCAATAGATCTCAAAGTGCTTAATAATTTTTTTAAATATATTTCTCATTTCCCCCTATTTCCTCCTATGAAGTAGGACAGTACTCTTACCCCATTTATACAGATGGGGGAACTGAGGCTCAGAGTGGCTAGATGACTTGCCCAGTGTCTATGATAGAGCAGGGAGTAGAACCTGGGTCTCCCTAATCACTGGACCATTCTTCCTCAACCTAAAACAAGACCAATGCTTCAGTGGTTCACATGTGGTTTAAATGTAGGAACTAATTTCTTTATTCTGCCTCAGTTTGTGCCCAGACTTAATGACAGTTGCCTTGGAGAAGACAGATGTGCATTTGTTGCAACTCTGTCTACAGCAATTCCCTGACATTCCTGAAGCAGTTACCTGTGTTTGCTTGAAGGCTTTCTTAAGGTAAGCAGGAAGCTAACCATATATTTCCCTTCAGTTAATCTGGAATTTTATCTCAAGATTTGGTTTTAATACATTTTCCAAAAAAACACTAGTATTCTGAACTTTTATACAGAACATGTGTTAGGCACTATAATAAGAACTTTCAGGAACTAGAAATTGTATTATTGAATTTTTAGTCAGCACCTCACTGGTCAGCAAATTACTTCAAAGGCGGAAATGACACTATGCTTGTGTGTTGTAGGATTTTTCTCCTCTCGTAGGATACATTATTAGTATTAGTCTTGTTTTGTATTAATTGGTCACCACTTCTTCAAATGGGAAGCTCAGTCATTTTTGCCTATCTACCATGCTTTTTATGTAACTCACCATTGTTTGTCACTGCAGACCAGCATTAGGGATATAATTAGGTTCAAGGGTTGCCAATAATTTGACCAGAAAGTTTCTAGGTTTGTCCTTCACCCTGATCACAGAAGTTAAGAGCTAGAGAGCTCTATGTTTGGAGGCAGGACTTGGGAAGCGCAGCAATTACAGTTACACTGTGGGTGGCATCAAATTAAAGCAATTTTTATTACAATAGGTATTAAGATTACACACACAATGCATACGGCAATGACTGCATAAATTGATTTGATTATCCAAGGTGGTAATATAAATGCAGCTTGAGTATAAAATTGTAATTACCTAGTATAACACCATACTTACACCTCCTTTTTGAGATACCTTAAGAGAGGGAAGAACTGCCTCACTCTGTTGGTGGAACGGGGTGTCAGTGAGAGGAAGTATTGCAGCAGAGGAAACTTAAAAGATTAGACTTAAGATTACTAGTACTATAAAGGAAATTGAAGGGAGAGAGTTTGAGGTAGAAAGTTCCAATGCATGGTAACTGCCATGGAGTCTTATAGGTCGTCTTATGTCACCTATTGCCAAACCCCTCAAGGCCAAAACAGATTTCTGCACCCTAAGATTTTTGAGGCACACATTTGATTGGAGAATTAAACTAGGACATCCTTTTGAATATGCATGAGATATCACTGTGCCCTTGTGGACAAGTTCCAAAAATGGAAACTTGTGGCTTAATTATCAGGAAATGCCACAAATCGCCCACCGACCCTGTTTTCTGGATAAAGCAAGATGTTCAGACTGGCAGGTCACTGTATTTTGGGACCATACAAGACAATGACTCATTCTATGATAACACACGGGCTTTTTGTGGTTTGACCTTTGGCCTGGCTGGAAATTTCACACATTATTATCTAACTATAATTCCTTTTCAAAATGATATAAACCAATCGATACTATTGCCAAAGCCAATTTCTTACAGGATAAGATCCCTGTAGGTCAGGCCTGGGCAAAAGTCAGCCTACAGGCCGGATCTGGCCTGCTGACACAGCCGTGAGCCCCAGGCAGACTCCCCTGCTTGCCTCGCAGCCCTGCACACTGCTCAGAAAAGCAGCTGTGGGGCTGCTTCTCTTTTAAAACTGAGAGGCGAGAGGTGGAAGGCTTCAGGCGTAACTCCTGCCCCCAGCATAATCCCATTGGCCGACTTTTGGGCAGAAAGTGGCCAATAGGAGCTGCCTGTTTAAATAATAGGCAGCATACGAAGCATCTCGCCCCCTCTCCTTCAGCTCAGTTATTCATATAAGCCCGCGTTTCTCAAACTGTGGGTCGCAAGCAACTTACAGGGGGTCGCGGTATCACACAGTTTGAGAACCCCGATATAAGCACATGGCTGTGCAGGCATCAGGCAGGCAAGCTGGTTGGACTGCTGGCTAGTAAATCTCCTGGTCAAAGCCTGACTCAGCCTCTCCTCCTCCTCCCCCCCCAATATACCCATACCATCTGCCCCTGCACCCATATCCCCTCCCAGATCACAATCCCCTTCTACTCTAGGTTACAACCTAAATTCCTGCACCATAGTCCCTTCCCCTACATCACAACCCCCTCCTGCCCTAGGTCACATTCCAAAACCCTGGACCCCAGACCCGTGCCCTAGGTCACAATTGCCTCCTTCACCCAAACTCCATCCCAGACCCCACTCTCTCCTGCAGTCCAGTCCCTTACCCTGCACCTCCATTAATATCATGTAAGTGTGCGGCCCTCGACCACTTTCCAAAATCTTGGAGTTGCCCCCTGTCAAAAATTATTGCCCACATCTGCAGTAGGTCCTTTAATAACTGCTAAAATAGGCTAAAACAGTAAAAGGTTTAGGAAAGTATATAGGTATACAGGCTACAGTCAGCCTTATCAAAATGCTGAACTGTTAATATTATCTCAGATGGCATATTGCTAAGATAAACCAAAGCATAAAGCCAAGCAAAAGAAGACTGACTAGTAGCCCAAGATATGTAGAGACATCCATTTGCAGATTCATCTAAATGCAGTGAGTCTTAGGCTATGTCTATGTCATAGGCCTGTGGTCATTAATCCGTGGATCAGGAGGGCCTGATCAGTTCATGAGGCATTCGGGGGCCCCCCCATTTCTCCCCACCCCCAAAAAGCCCCACCACCTACCTCCAGCAACAATGGAGGTAGCGCCGGCTTCCCGTGGGGTGGACAGAAGGCACCACTTCTGGGGTTTCAGGAAGTGCACTAGCTGCTCTCCCTCCCCCAAACAACCGGTGTGGTACCTGAAAGGCCAGGTCTCTGGGAGGAAAATTCAGCAGAAATCTCTGTGGGAATGCTATCAAATGCTTTGTTTTCATGACAACTGGAAATCTAGGCTGCTGTCGTTTAGAAACGGAAAGAGCCTAGTGAGAGGTATGGAAAAGGAAGTTGTGGCTCAAGTTAAGGAGCAGGCTGCCTAGACCCGTGGTCACCAACCTGTCAATCACAAGGGCTCGACCAGTAAATCACAAGGCGTTCAGGGGCCCCCCCATTTCTCCCCACCCCCAAGAAGCCCCACTACCTACCTCCAGCAACAATGGAGAGGAGATGGGCGTGGATAGGAGTCCCCGGAGGAGGTATGTGCCAGGACATCCTTCCCCTGCAGGCGGGTGGGGGTAGGAGTCCTGGCAGGAGGTGCATGCTGGGGACTCCCTGTTCCCTGCCCCCCACCAACACCCTTGTTCCTTGCCCCAGCACCCACTGGCAGTCTGCTACCTTCCCTGTCAGCCTGCCACCTGCCCCATCACCCTGTCCTCTACCGCAGCACCCTGTCCCCTGCCGCAGCCCCCACTGGCACCCTGTTCCTGCCCCAGAACCCTGTCCTCTGCCCCAACACCCACTAGCACCCTGTCCCCACCCGAGGACCCACTAGCACCCTTCCCCAGTACCATGTCCCCTGCTTTCACCAGCACAGTTGGGGCCACATTATTGAGGCTTGGAGGGTTTTGGAGGAGCATGTTGGGTTTTTTTTGCATCTCACTTGTGTGGCCCCAACTGACTTTTCTGTGAGTCAGTGACCCCTGACTCAACAGGTTCCCCACCCTTCTCATAAATAAAGAAAATGCTGAAACTTTTTGTGTTTGACATATTTTATTTAAAAATGAAGCCTGGCCAACAAACCCCCAATTGGAGCCAAGCCCCCATCTGGCCGCAGCATCATAACACTCCTTTACTGCCCCCCGACCACAAATCTGAGTCTATCATACACTGGAACCCCCTGTCCCGAGCCTCTCCCATCCCAAAACTCCTGCACCCTCACATTCTCAGTCTTCTGCCACTACACTTCTGCACCATCCACACACGGCAAATCTGTGTCCTTAGCCCATCATTCTCCCAACCTCCCTGCCCTGAGCCTCTCACACACCCCAACCCAAACTCCTGCACTCTCACATCCACAAGCCTGTGGCTTGCTCAGCACCCCAACACTCCCCAGACTGGAGCCCCCGCCCCAAGCCAGCATCCCCTTTCCGCCTCCTCCTGCATCCAAATTGCCTCCCACAGCTAATTGCCTGTGTTAATTATAAGCCTTTGAAGGAACAAGACACACAGCTCTACATAATGCCATATGATCAAACCAAACTTAGTTGGATCATAATATCCTTTAAACCGATCCATGCCTTGTGGCATGTAAATTAAACTTCTGGTGCCAGTGCACATTTTGTAAATATTAATTCTGAAATACTTCAACTGGATTTCCTGTTGTTCTTGTATATATTGTATGCTGCAGATTGCTAATACACACTGTTTTGGTATTAAAAGACTGATAGTGTAGATGCCTACGCAGAGAATACACAAATAATAAGTGTTTAATAGTCTGTCCTTGGAACTGCCCTTCCTTCTTCTAGCATTAATGACGATAGCCTTGAAGGAACAAATGTGAATTTAGATTCAGTCATCAATTACATCAATATTACGCCCAATGAGCAAGTAAAAAAACAAACTGAAACTCTACAGAATGGCTTCAGTTCTGAATTGATGGAGGAGGACGGCTGTGATATTCAATTAACGCAGAAACCCTGTGCAAAAGAGACGGAAGAATTATGCCCTGTTGGACCACAAAAGGCAGCATTACTGTATCCTTTGGTGCATACATGCCCTTTTAATTTTGTTTATATAGTTAATTATCTCTAACTGGCTTAAAATACAGGCTGTGAAATAAGTGGTGCTTACTGTTAGCATTGTTCCAAAGTCTGTCTTCACATCTTTTCTGTTAACCCTAAAAAGCTTGTCAGTTGTGTTCCCTCTAAGCTCTGGGGTCACCCAGGAATGTTTTAAGTACTGAGCACTTAATTAGCAGAGCTGCACATATCTGGCAGTGTGTGTTCATGTGCCCCTCTTCCCACTGCTTTGCAGCCATGTTGCTCCTGCAGCTGCTCCCAGGACCCTTTTGCTGGCTGTGCAGGGTGTGGGGAGTAACAGCACTTGAAAGAATAAAATTACAGAGAATATATGTGCATTGCAGGAAGTACCAAGAAGTAACTACAACACACGTATGTGTTGGGAGGTGAATGTGAAAGGTACAGAGTGTGCATGGCAAAGAAACTTTGTGTGCGTGCTGACTGCTGGGGAAGTCTGAGACCATGGGCTGTCCCTTTAAGGGAGGAGTTCTCAAACTTCATTGCACCACGCCCCCATTCTGACAACAAAAATTACTACACAACCCCAAGAAGGGGATCGAAGCCTAAGCCTGCCATCCTATGGGGGGGACCTAAAGTCAAAGCCCAAGCTCCATTACCTCAGGTGGGGGCAGCAAAGCTGCAGCCCTCTGGCTTTGTCACTTTGGTGTCCCGACCCATAGCTTGAGAACTGCTGCTTTAAGGCAGTGGTGCGCAACCCATGGGTCGTGACACGGACGTCTTCCCGAGGGGTCTCGGCACTTAAATCCAGCCGGCCGGGGGCTCAGCCTGGCAGCGCGGGGGTTACAGATCAAAAAAGGTTGTGCATCACTGCTTTAAGGCGTTCACCAGAAGGCTCAGATTGCAGCATCTACCAGCAGCTCTCCTGATCCCTGTCTCCTTCATCTCCCGCTCTGCAGAGATGAGGCTCATGAGCAGAAGGACACTCTGTCATGAGTCTCCTCCCCATACTCTCTGCTCAGCAAGCAGGGAGGTTCAGGAAGCAGTTGGCCAGGGAATCCAAGGCAGAGAGCAGGAACAACCTGGATACAGAGTAGCAGGGGGAGGGTCATCTGAATACATGCCTCTACACGGCTGTACAGCATAAAGGGAATAAAGATTTTGATTTACATTTACTTTTTTAAAGTGTAAGTGTGTTTCAGGCAGGAACATGAAAAATTATTCTCCTTAACCCATGAAGATAAAACAAGAAGCAATGGGCTTAAATTGCTGCAAGGGAGGTTTAGGTTGGACATTAGGGGTATGCCTAGACTACATGGCTCTGTCAACGGAGCCATGTAAAATAGTTTATTCAGCATAGGCAAAGGGAAGCCTTTGTTTCACAAGGCATACCGGAGCAGTCAACAAAGGGTTCCTTTGTCGTCCGCACTGCGTCTAGACTGCCGCGCTGTGCCGGATCAGCTGATTGTCGGCACAGCATGGCGGCCATTTTTATTTTAATGAAGCGGGGATTATTTAAATCCCCTCTTCTTTGCCTATGCCAAGTAAACTTATTTTACATGGCTCCATCAACGGAGCCATGTAGTCTAGACGTAGCCTAGGAAAATCTTCCTACCTGTCAGGATGCTTAAGCACTGGAATAAATTGCCTAGGAAGGTTTTGGAATCTGCATCATTGGAGATATTTAAGAACAGGTTAAACATCTGTCAGGGATGATCTGACAGTGTTTGGTCCTGCCGTGAGGGCAGATGACTGGACTTGATGACATCTTGAGGTCTCTTCCAGTTCTAAAATTCTGAGAGTCATATCACAATAGTAAAAGTTTGCTCTAAAATGTTAGCTTCACAGAAAAAAAGAAAAGTTTTTGGCTGGCAAAAGAACTAGCTATGTAAGTACTACTTAGAAAATGGAATCCATTTCTTTAATAATAATAAAAAAAAACCACTTGCTATGCTCTGTCACTAAGAACTTGGATATCCTGATAAAACCACAAGGACTGTGGAGAAAAATATTCAGAATAGTATTTCTCCCAAGAAGTCTAGAAAATTAATTTAACAATTAAGATCCACTGAACCTTTGTAGAAATGACATTTCTTGAAACTATTTCCTGAATAATGCTGCACAGAAATGCCATTCTCCGTTCAGCATACAGTGAAACATTTCTCTTGCCTCATCTGAAAGATCTTTCAGCTCAGCAAGTCATCGTAAGTATATAGTTAGAACTAATTATTAGTTTAGCTCTTAGCTATAAATCAGAAATCTACAATTTTCTTTGATGGTTTCCAAATTGCATAGAACTTATTTTTCATATATTGGCTTGGGATATCAAATAAGAACTAAAAATGGTATTAAGTGCTCTGAAGCAACAAAATGTCAATGAATTTTCACAGAAAGCTGGAGTAACTAAATTACAGCATTTTTCTTGATCATTATTCCTGAAATATTTCACATCCTGTTCTGGTTTAAAAATGTGAATGTTTGAGTAAAATATTTATATGTATTCAATAACAATTATTCTAATTTTTCTCTTGTTTCTGTGGCTTTTCATTGTCATAATGGAGAAACTTTTCAAGTGATTGTAAAATCACAGTTGTCAGGAATCTATATTTGTCTTAACCTGATTAGATTCCAAATTGACATTGTCTCTTAGGGTATGCCTAGACTACAGGGTTTTTCTGAAAAAAAGTGGCCTTTTTAAAAAAAACAAAAAAACACTTCACCTGCATCTAGACTGCCATTGTGGTTTTTTTTTTTTTTAAATTACATTGAAAGAACACAACAGTTTTTTCAACAGTGGTAAACCTCATTTTATGAGGAAGAACGCCTTTTTTTCAAAAGAGAACATTCAGATTGCCTGGGTGCTCTCTTTTGAAAAAGCGGATCACTTTCTCGAAAGTCGCGTGGCTGTCTAGACGACCTCTTTCAAAAGAGGCTTTTTCGAAAGATCTCTTTAGAAAAAACCTCTTTCAAAAGAGGCTTATAGTCTAGACGTACCCTAAAAATGAGATCAACACAATACAATTTCACAACAAATAATGAAATCTGTGTCTTTCTCGTACCTTGTATACGTATTTGTATGCTGATAAAGTAATTGTTAATCTGTTTGTTCTTACTGACCAAAATTTGCCCATTATTCAACCACCTGTTGTTTGGGGGCAGGATGGGGCTTTCAGGACTTTACTTTTGTGCAGGGCACTGATGGCTTAATCCTAGTAGTCAGTGAAGTAAATGTATTGCAATTAAGATCAGTAAAGGCAAGAGTGGACTCTGTTCTAATATGTTGTTCAACAAACTAATGGTAAACCAGGTCCTCATGGGTTAGTGATCTGTCTGAGTCAAGTAGCAATGACTTATGTCTATCAAAACAATAATTCATGTTCATTTTCTTTGAGCATGCTCAATCTGCTAGTTTCTGTGGTTTCCAAAATTTACTCTAATCCACAGATGGCATACAAAATCCTTGAGACTAATAATTCAGACTTACAAGTTCATACATAGCTGAAAAGCAGTATATTAAAATTTACAAATAGGACATGTAAAGGGAAAACCAGCTACAGATCTGTTTAAATGTCTGTGTTACAGCAGTCTGACTCTGTTTTCTTTCTAGCTGTTTCTCCGGTATTTGCAGTTCCTATATGTGAAGTATAGTGAAAAATTTAGTACAGATCTTCCTGGCATGTTTTCTCCAACCATAAACCAGGTGAGAAGATAGCACTAAATATTATTTAAAATTTAGAAATAGCATAATTTTGTAGTTCGATCAGTTCCTTATTGTATTGGATTTATTCATTACGTGTTAGCAGATTAATATCTCTAAGTGGCTTGGAATAGACACATTTTCCAAGACTTGAATACAAAGGGGTTTCATTTTATATCACTAGAAATTTAAATTTTCAATACGGCTCTCCAGATCAGCCTTTAAAATGTAATTTGTTAAGCAAATGTTAAGTACAAGGGTAATGCTGATTTGTCTTTTTTTTTCAGATTATGGATTGGATGTGCTTGGTACTAGATGCTCATTTTACTGTTGTGGTTATGCTACCAGAAGCAAAAGGATTGCTATGTAGCTTGCATAAGTTTGTGAGAGCACAGGTAAGTTACAATTCCTATAATACTGAACTATTTTGAGTATGGATTTAGTATCAGAGTGGCTTGAGATAAAAATACAGTAGACTCTGTCATAAGAACAGCCATACTGGGTCAGAACAAAGGTCCAACTAGCCCAGTGTCCTGTCTGCCAATTGGCCGTTGGCCAATGCCATATGCCTCAGAGGGAGTGAACACAATAGGTAATTATCATGTGATCCCTCTCCTGCCATTCATTTCCAGACAGAGGCTAAGGACACACATTTGTTCTCTTCTACTCATATGCTTTGTCCTTTGCATCAAATAGCTACAGTCATGGTCGCGATCACTACAGCTTCAGAAATGACAGTATTGCAATGGTCTTGTGTTAATAGCTTAACTTTGAGATCCTTCAGGTTGAGCAAGCCATTTAAATGTGCAGATGTCTTTCACTATTTTCACATATGCAAAGCTTTCCCTAAGTTTTGTATTATAAACATCTTAATTCTTCTTTTTAGGTACGATTTTACTCTGAACTCAACAAGATCGAAGGAAGTTTGCAAGAGCTACAAAGACTAAAACACCAAAAAGACTTTGGATTATATTCTATTGAAATGTTGGAACTTGTTTGAATTTGATATGCATTTTTCATAAACTTATTTTTTATTTAATCCTGTTTCTGACAAGGATTTATTTCCTCTTCCAAATTGGTTGTGAGCTTGTCTATGCAGGGCAAAATAGTTTACTCTAGCGGCACTGAGGGATATAAGTTTGAGACTAATGTATAAAGCTGTCCCATTTTCACTGGATGACGTATTGAAGACATCACATGACATCAGAATAATCATTCTAGGAAAATGTGTTTACAATCCCAGTCTAAAATGTGACTTGATTTTATGCAAATTTGATTATATATATGTGGTAAAATACCTTCATACATACGGTCTTGACAGACACTTCCTAAGATGAGCTGACGGTATTTTACTGTGCAAGAATTGTTTAATAGTATGAACAAAATATTATGTGGACTGTTTGTTTTAAACATATGTTTGGACAGAAAGTCATTTAACACCATCTGTCTGGTTCCCCAAACCAAATTATATTTAGGAAGTAAAAATAATTCATTTGAGTTGTTCCTTAACATATTGTAAATTTACTTTTCCAAAGTGAATAAGGAATTAATGTCAATTAGCACCTATCAGAGTATAAATCTTGAAAAGAAACCGTATTCTCTCCTC